CCTTGCTCAGCCAGTGAGCGGCCGGTCTGTATGTAGGATCCGAACCCTCGGCGGGAGCGCTGCCGCGCTCCCAAGCGGCGCACTGTAGCAGTGCGCCACCGGGCCGGCCCCTGACATCCCTTTTTAATGTTTACTTTGCCTGAGACCGCCACCCCCTGTCTCCCCTCTGGTGGCCACACTGGGAAGGGGTAGGGAATCAACAGGGGCCTGGCACGGAGGGTGGAAGCAGAGGTTCCCCGCAGCACCCTGGGGATCTGGAGGTGCCTGAAGGGTGGGCGGACAGGGCTGGGCATCACCTCCCACATGGAGGGGACATCTTGCCTTCCACATGGGTCCCATGTGGCACCTGACACAGGGCAGTGCTAAATTGAAAGGGGCTGGTGGCAAAGACTTTGGAAAAACAAACCAGCGAACATCCCCCAGGCTCTCTTCTCCAATGACTCCCATGGGGAAGGAGCAGATAAGACTCTGGGAGTGAGTGGGAGTCTCAGACTGCATCCCTGGGGCCCCCAGACCATGCGGGAGAATCCCAGGCAGCTTGCAGGGTCCCTGAACCAAGCGGGGTGGGGGTTGGGGTGGACAGCAGCTCCCGGGTGCTGCTGAGAGTGATCAAGAAGTCGAGGATCTCAGCCCATGGGGTGGGAGTTAAACAGTGACATACCGTTCCAGGACACCATGAGCCACCCCTCCCCGCCTCTGGCCCCAGCCTCCCTTTGTTCCCACTGGGCTCCCATGCAGCCCCCACTTTGCAGGGGGCTCTTGTCTGTGCAGTCCCTGCTCTCGCTTCCCCACGCCCCATGCTGGAGGCCTGCCCATTTCTGGGGCACCCTTTCTGCTTAACCTCATTAGATCCTTCCAGCCGGTTTCTGACGGCCCCGCTGGTCCTGGCCCAAGTGGGGCAGGGTGGGCAGTGTCCCTTCCGAGGGGCCTGGCGGGAGGGTGGAGGACGGCGGGCACACTCACCCAGGAGCAGGTTCATGAGCACCTCCTGGCCGGCCAGTGTGCTGCTCTTCACCAGGCAGAGGATGGTACCCCCGATCCAGGGGATGCCGTGGCCTGTGATGCCAATGAGCTTGACCATGGAGCGGGCACTGGCCCAGGACGCAGCCCGGCCGGCGCACACCCCCAGCCGCTTGGACATGCAGATGTCAATGGCCAGCAGGGAGTTGAAGGCAATGCCCTTGAAAGAGGGGTTCAGCTGCATGCAGTCCTCCTCGGGCAGCTGCTGTGACTGTCGCCGCTCGCGGGCCCCGTCGCCGGCGGGCGGGGGCTGTGCAGAGGGGCCTGAGGCCTTCCTGCCCGAGCTGCGGGGCTCTGGGGTCCCCTTGGGGGGCTGGTTCAGGGACAGGAACTCGGCCCGGTTGAGGACATTGTTGCGGTCCCGGGCACGGGCCCGGCTCTGGGAAGCTGGCATGGTATCCTGCTCACCCAAAGACCGGTGCCAGCCTGGCTCCAAGGGCCTTCTCCCTGAAGACAACAGCCGCCACTGTCGCCTGTCTCCTGCCTTCTCCGCGGTAGCTGTTAAATATAGAGTGGAGGATTGCACTCCTGGCTGTTTACCTCCAGCTGCCCCAGGCTCCACGGGACGTCAGTGCCAGCCGGGCAGCCAATGGAGCCCACCGATGCGGGGCCAGCGCCAATGGAGTACAGGGACGCTGCAGCTGCGGCCTGGCTGCCTCAGGCCTGGGCTATTTAAATCTGACAGTGGCTCATCCCCAGGCTTTGGGGCACTCTGGGAAATGTAGTCCTCCTGCTGTTCGGGACTCTGCTGTGGCCTTGGTCTCTGGCTGGGGCAGAGGTGGGTCCCACTTCCCCTGCTCTGAGCAGCTTCCCACTGAGCAGTCCAGACCCCATGAGCAGGGCCGTCTGCTGCACTGCTTGGGGAGTTTGGGCCTAGTCCTCTGAGCCAGGCAGTGGAGCCCAGGCACCAAATGGAGTTAACGTCACTGACAGCATCCTCTCGGGTCCCTGAGGGCAGGCCCAGCTCCTCCCTCTGTGACAGCATTTCATTGATCTGGCAGGCTGGTTTTTTTCCTTTCTTTCTTTCTTTCTTTTTTTTTATTCCTTTTTGTCTTTTTTACTGACCGGTAACGGGATTGCAACCCTCGGTGTCGCACCACCCGTACCGGGGACCGGCAACGGGATTGCAACCCCCGGTGTTGCACCCACACCGCGCTCAGCCAGTGAGCGGGAACCGGTCTCCACATGGGATCCAAACCCTCGGAGGGAGCGCCGCCGCGCTCCCAAGCAGTGCACTCTCCAGTGCGCCACCGGGCCGGCCCATCTTTCTTTCTTTTTTTTAAAAAATCTGTCTTGACTCTGGCTTCAGTGCATCACAGTCCAATCAGAAGGCAATCTGTAAGACTCGATTTCCATTAGAGGGAGGATAATTAATTGGTTGGTAATGGATCTGCCCCCTGGTGGTTGTCCCCAGTACTCAGAGTTTTGCAAAGGACAGGAGCACTACAGCAGCTTCAGACAATCCATAAATAGTTACCTGGTGCCTGACAGCGTGCTAGGTGGGGGGCGTACTGCAGAGAGCAAACCTGACTCCACCTCTGTCCCCGGAAAGCTCACACTTCAGTGGGGATCAAAGGAAGGACACGTGTAAATGATGACAAGTGTGTCAACGTATCACAAGATCAGAGTTTCGGTCTGGTCTGGGACTCATGGAGGGCTTTCCTCAGGAGGGAAGGACAGTGGGAAACCCTAAGCAGGGCAAAGCCTACCCCACAGGAGGGCTGGGAGGTCTGGTGGTTGGTGTATGGAGTGAAAGGGGAGAAGATGCTGCAAACCACAGGGTGCAGACCAACAGGGCCTGGTCAAGGATTTGGGAGCTGAGGCAGGCCTCCCTGCACCTACCTGAGTGACCTTTGGGAACCCCAAATCCCCTGGGCTTGACGGGGGAAGCTGCTTGTATAAGCTGACCAGAAGAGTCAGACGTGAACCCCTTGGTCTCATGATTCCTTGGATGGCCAAGGCCTGGATGCCCAGCCCAGATGGAGGCAGGACACTGTGACTTCTCTAATTATGGAGCCCACCCGTGAAAGCCCAGGACCACCCCACAGCCTCCCAAGGACAGGAAGATTCCTGGGGGGTGTGGATGTGTGTGAGTGCTCTCTGGCTACAGGCTCAGAGTCAGGCAGAGGAATCTGCCATCTGTCGTGGCTACACCCCAACTAGCTGTGAGACCTTGAGTCACTTCGCCTCCCTGGGCCTTGGTTTCCGACCTGTAATGTGGGAATAACAGTGTCCTCCTCTTAGGGTCGTTGCGAGGCTCAGTGAGATGATGTCTGTGAAGAGCTGAGCAGGGTCCCTGCCACATAGTGAGCCCCCGCCCATGGGTTAGGAATCGATTCACTTCTTAGTGCCCCCTTCAAAAGGAACCACCATGGTCTGACCTCCACCCCATCCCTGGCTGGATGAGGCCAGAGTCCAGAAGCTCTCAGTCTGAGGTTCCTGGCAAACACCCCCGCTGGGTCCGGCAGGGCTCGGCCACCTCATTCCTCCTCTTCCCTTTCCTGAGTGTCCCTTTCCACGAGGCCACGGGGGGGGGGGGAAGTCCCAGACTGCATCATGTCCTGCCCTTTTGGGTGTAGCACTGATGCCACGTGCTGCCTCTTCCTGGACTCTAGACAGTTGGATGTGGATGCACATGAACATGTGCACACAGGCGTGGCTACTGGGCAGTGTCTGAGCTCTCAGTGTGCTTAAGCTTATTGACACGATGTAACCAGCATTGACGTGAGGGAGTTGTGACAGCATCCTCACTGAACAGAGGAGGAAGCTGAAGCTCAGAGGGGAAGGCCTCCAGCCAGGAAACAGAAAAGAGGGGAGGTCCAACTCCTAAGCAGTGTCTACGGTGGGGACAGGAGGCCCTTTGGACCCAGATCCCTCAGACCACAGGGACCTGGATGTGTTTGCTCAGCTCTCCACCAGGGCACTCACCCCACTCTCCTTGGGTGGGGCCCATGACCTGGGGTGGCCTCAGGAGGGGCACAGGAGCCCAGCCCAGAAAGGGGATATTAATACCCAGAGGCTTGTGTCAGCATTTCTATATGGTTAGAGCTGCCAGCAGGTTCTGAGGGCCACAATGGGCTCCATGCTGGGAAGGGCCATGGGGTCCAATCTGACTCCAGCCCAGCAGTGGTTAAGACATGGCTCTGGAGTGGGACAGCCCCAGGTTCAAACCCTCGCTCAGCCACCTGCAGCTGAGGAGCACAGGCAAATCCTCCCACCCTTTTAAGTCTCTGTTTCCTCTCAGAGGGCTGGCAAGAGGATCATATGAGGGGTGCACTTAGCCCAAGGTGGTGTCCACCCTTGAGCCTGACACCTGTCACTCTCCTCTGTAAGGTGGGGTGACCCCGTTCACATTCTCAGGTGGCTGAGAAGCAAACACCATTCCTCAACCCACAAATCTTTATGAGCACCCACCATGGGCCACACGGTCCCATTTCTCAAGCCTTAGAATTCATTCATTCATTCAATGTTTTCATTGATCTCTTCCTGCAGACTATTTGGAGAAATAGGATACACACCCACAAAATAATCAGCCAGTTTATGAAACAGTATAATTTCACCAACAGCCTTATTTACTTCTTACTATGAAAGTGTTGCATGCTTACTACAATAAACTCAATAAATACACATGATATAGGTCATCCCACCACCCAGAGACCAACACTGTTAACACAAAGGTGGTCAGGTTATAAAGGGATTCTAACTTGTCTCATTTTCAATTACTAAAATATTTTACATCTATGAAGTATTACTTTAATAATCAGAAAATAGTATATAATAAACAAACTATATCTACATGTTATATAACGCATTTAAAAAATATGATCACATTATACACCCTTTTAAAAAATAACCTACCCTTTCACTTAACAATATAAACTTGGCTATGTTTCCATGACAACCTCATTATTTTTCAATGGCTGCTTGGCATTTTGTCATGTGGATGTGCCATATTTTATGTAACCAATCTCTTATTATTGTACATTTAGGTTGTTTCCATCTTGGGACTATTCAAAACTATCTGGGATGGCCATCCTTATACAAATAGCCCTGTGCAGTAAAGCAGAATATAAATAAGCGGTTAAAGTGGCAAGGGCCAAACAAAACGGTGCCCTCGGATGCATCCCCAGGGGACCTGGTGGGCTAACCTGAGCTACCTACTGCAGTGCTCAGACATGGAAAAGCATGATGGGGTCACAGACCACTTCCAGTTGACAGGGCTAGTCCAATCGCCATCTTCCCATTTTAGAGGAGAAAGAGCAGGCTCAGAGTGGTGACATCACTTGTGAGGCCTCAGAGCTGGCCAGGGCCAGAGCTGGGACTTGGGCCGGCTGGGCCTTCTCACTGAGCCTGTGAGCCATCTTCCTGGACACATGTTCCGTGGCTTCTCTGCTCCCTGCCTGCTTGGCCTGACCCGTCACTCATTCATGGAACACTTCTTGAGCCTGCTGGGCTCCAGGCCCCATGCAGACACCAGTGGGAAGGGCAAAGATGACTGCTGTGGCCCCATCCCTGCAGACCACCTGGCCTCCCCTGAGGCATCAACCCAGCTGGCCCTTGTTCTGCATGACCTTCCTGGACCAGTACTATCGGCTGCTGGGAGGTGGGTTGAGAGGGAAGTGACTTGCTGGGACCCACACCTGGCACAAGGATTGCGAGTCAGCTCTTGTCCCTGACCACTTGACAATACTGCCCCTTTCTTATTTGAGAGCAGGAGAAATTTTCTGGCAGCTTTGTGGGACCTAGAGCAGTCTGGACATTGTGGACATTTGGCGTTTGTTGTCTTTACATGTTAAGATAGATTTACTACTCATACTAACAAGCATATTTATCATTAACTTGTGCTTAATACTTGCTATGTGCCAGAGTTAAGTGCACGTCCCTGCGCCACCTCGTTTAACTTCATGGACAGGCTTTTCGTCCCTTTGACACCGATGAGAAAACTGAAGCTCAGAGTCGAAGGGACTCTATCCAGGCCACTAGTGAGCCAGCGGGCAACCCCGAGATTCAAATATTACCTCTACCCCATTACCCTCTTTTGCTCTCTCTCTTTTTTTTTTTTGCCCGTATTATTTTTTAACAGGCCATAACTTTACTTAGTTGTTCTGTGTGTTTTGTGGTTTGTGTCGCCCTAAAAAATGTCAACCCCACAGAACAGGGACTGTTGTCTCTTTGTTCACTGGTGGGACCCAGGTGCCCAGACAGTGCCCGGCACACAGTAGGCACTCAATAAATGCTGAATGAATGACTGAGTCCAGCTCTAAGCTACTACATACCTGGCCATCAGAGCCCGGTGGGTGGGCAGCAGGAGGCTGTTTTGGGGGGCAATGACCCCAGAAGGGAAGGAGAAGGGGGTGGGTGAGAAGCTGAGCTCTGCGGCGCGCGGCCTGGCGGCTGGGGCGGGCAGAGGCAGGGGCGGCGCGGGGTCCCCTGCCAGGACGGCGAGGGAGCCCTGTGACAGGCAGTCTTCGTCACCACCTCCCGCTCCGGATCGCTTTCGCAGTTCGCATTTCTAAGGCTGCTCCTGGGTTATTTTGGTCGGGAAACCTGATCTTCGCCGGGTTTATTTTAGC